TGTGACAGGCAGCTCATCTCATGCTGCATGTGAAGAGATATAAGAATAAAATTTATTCTTCCCAAGAATGTATGAGGTGTTGCATCAACTCAGAATTTCTCCCTCAAGCTTATCTATGTAGTTGTAGCTACTACGAGATAATTTTCTTCTGGTTGAATTGCTTTGTTGTCTCCACTGGCTGAGACAGTGGAGAATATGCTGTGACTATTATGGGAGTGGTTAATGTGGAGTAGTGTCATGGTTGTGTCTTTGTCAGTACAAAAATCTTACCATTTAGGCTTCCTTAAATAAATAAACTCTCTTCCATGTGAAATGTGTTATTAAGTATTCTAAATGCCTTATGAAAAATATACGCATCTTTCACCGTGTGCTCCTGTTAGCACTCTCTGTAAATATTTTGGCAGTTGGAGCAGTGTAACACTGGGGTAATGCAGTCAAATCACAATGAAAGGCTACAGCGTGTGCTCAATGGGAACCGACATGCTGTCAAAAATATATCGTACATCTGTTTGAAATGTACCGCTGAAATTTTTGTAGTTTTTACTTCATGCCTTTATAAATAAATCTTTAGAGGAATTCATTGAACATTTTTTTTTCACATGTTTTCTGTTCCTTATGTATTGAAGTTTTTTCTACCACAGTTGCTTACCTTTGTGATATTTCTGTCTCTCCTTTATGATTTTTTTTTTATTGTAAGCCCTGTGGAATTGTTTGTTTATATGAATCACCTTCTATAGTCTCTAGTTTTAGCTGATGGTAGCTTAGCATGGTTCATAAGCAAGGTGTAGGAAATTCTGAATTCTGATAGTTTTTAAATACAATTTCTTACATTTTGAGACAATTCCTTTTGATTTAAGTTGAATATTTTTATAACTGTTACAACTTGTAATGACTTTCAGCAGAAGGTCTATTAGAAAATCTGAGTACTGATCTTGCTGCTGCTGCTTTATTTTTAACAACATTTTGTCTAATAAGTGGTCTGCAGCTGTGAGAACATCAGTAAAATTTAATGTCGTCATACATTTGGTTAACCATAACTCTTGATATTTGGACTGTGAAATTTTTGAAATTTATTTTGTTATTAAAAGGACACTATGATGTTTATAATGGTCCTTGAAAGCTTTCTTTGCCTATAGGTTTTGTCTTTTGCATTTGACACATCTGCATATTTCCCTTTTGCAGGTAGTTGAAACTAGTGCTGCTATTTTTATTTCCTCATTTGTTTGATGACAAAAGAAATATTTATGACTAAAAATAGCAACTATTGGATCTTCCCATTGTGGGAGCAGACAAGCTGGGCCTTTAAAAACAGAGTGAATGTGTTTCTGTTTCTGCCTTAACTCTTTATGGAGAAAGGTTCAGGATTTTCTGCCACTACTGAAGCATTTGACAGCTTGATAACAAAATGTGTATAATAATACAAATAACAGCCTCTGTTGCTGGTGTCGTTTGGTTGGTTTTTTTTCATTCCCACTTTGATTATAGTTGTAACTGATATACAACACTCTTCTAGGGTACATCTGCACTGCTGTCAGCTCAGGCAGAGTAGTTGAGCTTGCTTTACACGAGCTACTGGAAAGTTGAGTCCAGTCTGATTTCTCTGGTGGGGTGAGGACAGGAGGATCTTGGGTTTCTTCCACTTTCAGTATTTGCTACAGTTGACAAGATTTGGTAAGCTGTTCCTTTGTGTGTATATTTTTGGAAGCCATGATTTTGCAAAGTGTGGTGGTGTATTCTCAAACAAATGCACATACTATCTTCAACCACTGCAGAGGGCTCATGCCAAAGGAGAAGCTTATATTTTCTTCAGGAATGCTCGTTGCCATTGCTGTGTTTCAAGGTTTGGCCACTCTGGAAAGGTCCTCACCAAAACTGCAGGTGGTGGGGCATTTTTCCTAGCCAGGGGTGGCTCAGTATGGGTTTGGAGTTTTGAGAGTTCTTCCCTACCCCTGTAAACACAGAGGTTTTTAGGAATTTGCTGTTTAACTATATCATGCTGCTGCTGCTGTTTCCTGCTTCATGGTGGTTTGTGGACACTGGCTGAGAGATTTGGGAAGATCTTACTCTTTTATTTTAGAATGTATGATTTGGTATCTTGATTTTATGCTATTAACAAGGGATGCCCACAGCACTTGCAATAATGTGTTGAATAGGCAGGAACATATTATGCATTCAGAACAGCTGAAAATCCTTCAAAGAAAAATAAAACAGTAACAAATAATTCTCTAGAAGTAGCCTGTACTTAAGTAGGCTGTCTACTGCTGGGAATGGGCATTTGTAGGAGTGGTTTCAGGAGTTTTTTTCCTGACACATGAAGACAGCATTACTAGAATTAACTCACCTTGGATTACCTCAGTTAACACTAAAATGAACACTAAATTCTTTGACACCAGTGAATGCATATAAAAATAATCTCCTGGTATTTTCAGTAGTGGTTAAAGACAGCAATCAAGAGACAAAAGTAATCAATCAAAAGAATTATAAGCTTTTCATCAGGTCTGTGTGTAGGTTCAACCCAAACAGGAGCTGTCCATAAACACAGAATTGTTTAAATGATTTATGGACCTTCACTGCTTTCTTAAATTACAGAAACATTGCTGATTAAAAAAAAAATAAATAAAAAATATCATGTGCTTTCTCTCCCCTAGTTCCTCATCTGTCATTTGTAACAGTATTTCTTCTTATCTGATACCTGTGCCTGTTATAGTGGACAGTGGCACCCCAACCCCATCCTTATCATAAGCATTAACAAAACCAGTAATACATTGGTAAGAATGTTGCTACTGGGAATGTTGTTCCAGGCTCCTGGTGATGAAATGGTTCTTGGGAGGCATTCACCTTGCCTTGTAAAGTATTGCGGTTTGATGTGCAGATTACGGAGTCTTATCTGCAGCACTGAGTTACAGTACCTGCCTATCTCTTCAGTTTAAACTGCAGCTTGTAAAACATTAACATTTTGCCTTACTAACAATTATGCCCATACGAGTAATATGTAATTTATATAGTGGTGGTCACCAAACTGAAGTATTCTATGTATTGAACATCCTGAGAGAAAGTGAGAGAGGAGCATTAATTCAGTTTTCAAAACATCAGTATCAGTTATCCATTTAATTCAGCTCCCACAGCTTCTAAAGAATCTCATGTTCCACAGGTTTCTAACACCACTGCAGGAAAGCATTTATACTTTTTCTACGTACTGAAATATGTCTTTCAATAATTGTAGAATATTAGCATGTATTGCTATTGGTTTTTCCCTTCAGCTTCAATTATAGCAGCATAACTGACTGTAGGAGTTGGGTTTTTTTTATTCTGTGTAAATTACTGCTAATAAAAGTGAACTAACATCATGCTTTTAACTATGTGAAGGAAGCCTTCAGTTACTCCATTCTTGTTCCAATGAGACATTGTATCTGAGACTGACTTGTTTACAGTTGGGAACAATAATTTTTCTTATTGAAATATACTCTAGTATAAGTACTCTAATTAAGTACTCTAGTACTTAATTAGAGAGGGGAAGAATAGTCTGTCCACTGAATGAATGTTCTTTGTTGCTTGCAATCTTGTTTTGTCCTGCCTGACTAGTTCTTCAGCTAGTCACAGATTTCAATACATCTTGTAGCTTGGCAGCAGCAGGGGGAGTAGTGTAGCTTTATTTGGGGGCTCTCCTTGACTGGCACTGGAGTGAATTGATAGCAGCTCAGAGCAGTGCTGGTCAGGCTCAAAAATCAGTGTATGTCAGGAATTCTGCTTTGCTCTCCCTATGTGAGCTGGAAGCAGGATTCTGCAATCTTTGCCTTGCTGCACTTCTCTAAACACCAGGTCCTGCAGGTGTACAAGCATACCTGCTACTAGCAAATTGTGACAGATGTTCACAGGTCAGGCCTGGCAGACTCCCAGCAGAAAGGCATTTTGTAACTGTTTCAGCTGCTTGATCAGAGCTGAGCCAGCACCAAGTGCCCAGCCGGGCTCTTTACAGTTTAGTTTTGAAAGCCTGAAAGGATGGAGATTCCTCTGCCTTTCTGAATTATCTATTCTAACGCTTAAATATTTTCATAGTGTAGTATTTTTCCTTGTGATTCCCTATTGTGGATCCCTTTCACCTGGAGCACTGTCCCATGACCATTGTCCCTTGCTCCCCTGCTGTGCACCTCTCTGAAGGGGCTGTCTCATCTCACACCTCACTTTGCCATCTCCATATTCTATTGGGAAACAGTTTTATGGGATTTTTTTCCTACTGTTTTTTGCATTTCATAGATTTCTTACTGAAATTTCTTTTTTGTCAATGACAACACAAAAGAAAATATCATCAAATAGTCCTATTTTTTTATAGACCATTGCATTGTTAATTGATGCTCAGTTTGTTATCCCCTAAAACATGTGCATCCTTTCTAGAAACAGTAGTGTCAGATCCTTGTGTATCATTCTTTTGCAACAAACATCATTGACTTTTGTATGGCTAGGGGATGGACAGAATGTAGACAGTAAATTTGAAAATGCAATCAAGTGCATGGTGGAGAGCAAATAGCATAGTAATATATGTTTATTCTCATCATATGTTTAGGAGAATGTTAATTTTAAAATTTAATTATTGTGCAATGCAGTATCATGTTGGTCAAATTTAGATTCATGGATTCTTTTGCACCTTTAAATCTCTGTTGTTTTTACTTGCAAATTAATTTAATCTTGTGCAGCACATAATATGTCAATGTATTCCCATATGAATTTATGATAAAAATACTATATTCCATGTATCTGCCCAGCTTTTCTCTAGTGAGAATGTGTTAAGGTATTCTGCTACTGCTGTATAATTACAGTTGTCTTACATTTTTGGCATTTGTTGAATTAATCCCTTGTATACCTCTTCAATATAAAAATGTTATTTAGCTAAGTTACTGACATAATAAAATAAACATCTTTAAAATTACATTCCTATATACCTATATGCAGGATGAAGTCCAAGATCAGGATGAAGTCCAAGATCAGGATGATGTAGGTGGAAAGCAGATTACTAATAGGACATTTATTTCTCTTTCCCAAATTATTGCCTTGTCAGAAGAAAATCTGGAAGGAGTTGAAAAGTAAGTAACAATGAACAATGCTGGAACCCATATAATAATGAAATAAAAGTTGTACACTATTTGTTAGATTTCTTTTGTGATGGTTATGTCATTAGTGTTTAATTATTCAGTTAAATCATTGATATTTAATATTATTCACAAAAGATGGAAGAAATACTTTTGGTCTCAGATCCAGTTTGGTTTACTGTTTTTCTTGTAGCTCTTGATTTTGCTTAGACTCCGTTTGTTCCACTTGTATTTCACCTTGTTGTGGTTTCTGAATTTACAATAGCTTTAAATATGCTGTAGACAAAATACTAAGATGTAAATAAGAACAGGCTGATGCTGAGATGTTCTTTGTACGTCTCACTGGGTAACATTTTTTTACTAAAACATGCAAAATTCTGTACTTTGACGTGAGTTACCAAAAAATCAAAAAGGTCTTAATAGTTCAGCAAGGGATGGAAAGCTTAAAAAGGTAACAGTGGGTTGCCATTATGGTGCAGTGGGGAAATAGGAGGCAGCCAGACTTCTGATGTCAGGCTGTCTTTGTCTTTCCCGTACCAACACTCTCCCTTGTTATTAGTGTTTAATAGCAGTTAAATTTTGGAGGCCAGGAGTTCAACCTGAGGCTCCAGATTTATATATGAAAACGGGACTTTTCAGAAGTGCAAGAATTATTTAGGAGCACTTGTGTTTGTTAGCAGGTTCTTAGGGAATTGAAAGCCAATGGGCTGGGTTGCTGGTCTAGTTTGGGAAGGAAGAGGTGGGGGTTATATAAAATCCAGCTTTGTTCTTCTGAATAGGTAACCATTTACCAATGATTAAAATATTCCTGAAATATATTCTGTTCTTCCTATTTGTCACTATTCTAGGGAGAAAAGGTCTTTCTGGATTTTTTTAAAGAAAACTGGAAAGAAAAGTTGCTACCATTAAATAACAATACAAAAATTCTTTCCTTTCCTGTTCTCTCTTGCACAATAGGCCTCTTTAAATTTAGAGGAGACTGAAGTGTACAACTCATGGAGACTAAAATGTGCTTAGTGACACAATTCTTTGTTCAACTTTCTCATTAAGATTAAAAAGCACTGAAAGATCATATGCTATTTTAGACTCAGCTGATCACATATGTATTTATATTTACAGACTGTACAAGGGGAATGTAAAGTATATACTGCATCTGAGTGGAAGTAGCATAGTTACAGGGTATTTTATGCAGACTAAGCAGTTTAGCAGCAGCATTAAAATTTTGTTTACCACAATGCATTGTGTCTATTTACAAAAGCAGTTTGAAGGCCGTAGCTAAGGTTAGAAAATCAGACTAGATCTGATTCAGTATAAGAATTTTGATGTCCTGCAGTCCCGTCTATCAGGGAATTTTGTACTGCTGTCCATCTTCATAAGACTTGAGCCCTAGGAAGAAAGAAAAAGCCGTGAGGATAACTCGGAAATCTAACTGCCCCATCATTTCTCAATCATGTACAGATACTGTTGTCAGTGACACGTCTTACAGAATATTGAAAAGACGAGCACTGGCATTTTTAGCAGAATCAGAGAAAATCTAAATCCCTGAGAAGCTCTGATTATGAAAACACAGAGTTGGCAGAAGCTTCAGAGAGAGAGGATATGGACTGTTTCAAACCTTGGAAAGTTCAGCTGGCCACATTCCACTTCTATTCCAGTACACAGTTAAGTGTTTTTAACCAACTTGCATGTGTGCAGCCATACAAATTTGTCATGCAGAACAAAGGAATGCATGTTTTAAAACATGTATTGGAAAAAATTGGATTGGATTCCAAGTCCAAAACCGATTAGATTATGTGCTTTCCTCTGTTAGCTTTTGAGTCAGTAATTAAAGAAAGAAACTCATCTCATTTAACAGTGTTTGTGTACTGTGTCTGCAAAACCCCTGAAAATCTAATGGCTGCTATCAGTAGGTCTGGAATTAATGTCCTTCTTAGGAAGGAGTGAGAAGGCTGCAGGGCTTGAGATAACCTTGCTTTTTTGCAGGGGACTAAAAACTGTGATCACTGGCACCTGTATCCTCAGCTGTAGTTAAGCCAAGGATTGCTTTAATGTAAAACTTAACTGCCTGAGACATGTCTGAAGTTAATACTGGAAGAATTGAAACCAAGTCCTAGCCCCAGTCCCCTTTCTTCATGTGGAAAATAGCACATAGCTATTATAAAAGACGTAACTAATTCTGTTTTTGGATAGAGTAGACATAAATGTATCAGCAACAGTATGGTCTCAACAAGGGAGTGTATTTTTTTGTAAATTTTGCAAGTTAAATTAAGCAGAAAAAAATTTATCATGTACCAGTAAAATGGGATAAGGCTCTTTTTAAATCTTTTGACCATTATGGAAGTGCAATTTAAACTTCTAAATATTTTAGCTACTTTTAGTAATTATATATTATTTATATTAATTTTCAAATGTAATTTTTAATCAGAGGCCATATGAAAAATAACCTTGAAATGGAAACAAGATCATATTACTACTGTAAAACCATCTAAATCAGAGTGAAAGCATGATAGTGGAAAGTGGAGACTAGTTGTGTCATTTCATCCCACAAACCAATTCCTGATGAAACACTTCTTTTCCTCCAGAATTTTCAATATATTTCTCTTTGGTTTTGTAATTGTCCTGGGGTGACTTTATGATACTGGTATCTCCAATCACCTGGTTTATGTTATATATTAAGTTCTGCACCTTTAAGATTAGCTTTGAGAGCAAGAGAAGTTAAAACTGTTGGAGGCTGATGGGAGTTTTTTTCTCCTGACCAATAACTGGCAATTTCTGAGAATTGTCAGTGGTTTTGACCACTGAAAAGTGAGATCAACCTGTGAACACCACCTTAAGACCTAAGCCCAGGAATTTCTTGTTCACTTTGGTTTCCGGCTTCTGAAGAGGTAACAGGGCTCCGGTTCAGCCTCCTCCTCCCCCTACCAGGCCGGACAAGGCTGCGGAGCAGGGGATGGGAGAGGGAAGTGGGACCAGGCTGAGCCAGTCCAGTCCCTGGCTTGGCTGCAGTTTCTGCGGCTGCTGAGTTTCACCAGAGACTGCTGAGTAAGGAGAGAGAAAGCCATTGACCTGCAGCATGCTGAGACAGTGACCACACTCCTCCAGAGCAGCTGTGAAAAAAAAATCTTCTATCGTAGACAGCTCCAGTTACTGCTCTGGCAGAGATCACAGAACCATCTACAAGGCCTGGGCAAGATTTTAACTCTCACTATCCAGATGAGACTTGCAGATTAATCCTTTTTTTCCAGAGTGAGAGTGAGTGATCAACATGTAATGAGACACCAGAAACTATCAAAGACAGTGAAGAAAGGAATTAAGCTTCAGAGGGGGAAGAGAAATACAGAGATGCTTTAATAAGCTGAAATATTTTTCTGTTAAAGCTATGGAGGTGGACAGTGTTCTGAAAAAACTCCTTTAATTCCTGACTGAGTATTTTGGGGGGAACAGAGTATTTCAAAGTGTAGATTTAAGCAAATGGTGAAGTAGTTGTGATCCTATGAGATGCTGGAACAGAAAAAGAGAAGTAGTAGTTGAAGATTTGTGGCCTTTAAGAGACAAAGAGAAAAGTTCTGTTTCCAGAGAGTCTCACAAAAGCAGATGAAGAGAACTTCTGCCTTTGAATAACTCATCCTTAAAAATGACACCCCATCTTGACTCATTGACCCATAACACATCTCAGAGTGATGTGAAATGGGAGGAGAGAACTGATAGCAGAATTTCCGGGCAGCTGGCATCAGAGAAGTAGAAAGCCATGAAGAAAATGGTGTTCTGGTGAAAAAACTCCATAGATTAGCAGAAGAGGACTTCTTTTTCTCTACAAAGACTGATGAAAAGACTATAGCAAAATTGAGACTGTTTTAACCACCAAGTTTTTTGTCTCTATGTTGTCATGTGAACAGGGGAATGGCTGGGTAGTGGGAAAAAGAGGGTTTCTGGATGTTTTATTCTGGTTTCTTATTCTTGTAGTTTTTGTTAATAAATTTTCTTTGTTCCTTTTAAGTTTTAAGCCTGTTTTGCTCTTGTTCTAATCCATATCTCACAGCAAGAAATAAGTAAGTTTTCTAGTACCTTTTTTAGTTAATGTTTTAAAACCACAACAGTAATGCTCTAGTTTTTGTTCTTTTGGTAGTCATATCATAACACTTCAATAGTGTCTGCTGAAACCTGCAGGTAATTGTTTATTTTTTGATATATCCTCTGATCATAAATGTTATCTAGGAATTGATGTAGCTAAATTAAAGAAATTATGTATATCATTAATATAATACTATTAATAATTATATTGGTAATAAATTAAAACTTAATTATTATATATTAATAACAATAACATACATAGTAATTTAAGAAATTATGTGTATTATTATGTGCACATATGAATAATATAGCAACTAAACAAATGTTTTAGATATAATTGCATGCAGACCAAGTATGACTTTGGAATCTGTAATTTATTTTTTAATTCCATTATTTTACTCCGAACTTTTTAGGAAGATGGAAGAATTTCTGAATCTTACACAACTAAAGACATCTTTGAAAGAAGCTATTTTACTAGATTATTATACTGCAGGATTTTGGTGGGCTAGGGAAATGAACTTCAGCCTTATGCAACTCTCAGGATTCATGGATCTATTAAATTTCACCTTGGAGAACCTCAGCAGTAAGTATAATTAAGAACTGTAAAATAAATATCTGAAGTGGAAGGCAAGAATGTTTCCCAGTCATTTTAATAAAGTGATATTTAATTACAAGTAATTGTGAAGTGATTTATTTTCCTCTTGAATATAGGTATGTTAGACCTTGTGCCTGAAAATAATTTTTACTGACAGATCACAATTTTTTGAGTAGGGTATTCTTTTTTCTTTGTTTGTACAGTATATGGTACAAATGGGTCAGGTCCTGAAGAGACCTTTCCTTTGCTACAGTAGAATAAATAATAATTACAGTAGAGTGAGAGCAAGGAGCTCCTAAATTCCAATTCCAGCTTTCTCAGTGGCTGATTCACTGTAGCCTTGGGCACATTTCTCTGCTGTTCGAGATACTCAGTACATCCTGCTTACATTACAGCAAGTGAATTACGGTTTTTTTTGTCCTTGGAGGTCAACTCTCCGCTTTTTATATGGCAAATGCTGCACTTCTGCCCCAGAATTTATGTTAACTAAGGGCTGGTGAGGGAAGTAAACTGGCATTGCTGCTGAAAATGAAAAATGACAATGAAAGGACTGTAGCTCCTGTGGCTACAAGGAAATTTGCCACAAAGCACAAGCTTGGTCTACTGGAAATGAAATAACCTGAAAAAAATGGTTGCACTGTCCTCTAAAATCTTCTTTGTCAGAGATTCTAATGCTTGCTTAACATTCACTTTGAAGATGATTATGTTGAGAAAAGTCCATCCCAGAGAAAGAGTGAAAGGACTCAGCAGTTTCATTTAAAAGAGAAGGCAAATATTTAAAATCAAGCTCATAATAGTTATTATACTCTTTCACTGTAATTTAGTTCAAGGGCCTTTCTGACTTGGAATTTTGACAGAATAAGTATGTGCGTTATGATCATTGGAATTCGAGTTGTCTTTCCTATCTCCAATGAGAAAGTACCTTAACATATGTTAACTATATTACTATAACAATGGAGCACAATGAAAACCTGTCAGAAATTAGTTTTATGAGTCCATGTAATACATGTGTACAAGACAGGCTGGAAGCACAAGCACTTATTAAAGCTGACTGATGTTTTTCAGGAATGTCATCTTAGTTGCATTATGCTTTGCCAAGCATTTAACTCTTTAAGCTGAAATTTTCTGTGGCACTGACTGCTTTTGATGAATTTTTATATATAAAATTGCAACTGAACCAGTTCAGTGGGCTTGCAGACAGAGGCTGTGGGAAAAATGATCCTATTTTATGTCTTTTTTTATTTTTAACAGGTCTAATGCCCTGGTGCTTTGAGGTAAAGATAAAGACTTGGCAAGCAATTGTTGTGAATTTGCTTTTTGCTATCCTTTGAAAATCCATTTAGATTTGGCTAAGATATACATGTTTTTTAGAGAAAGAAAATATTGTTATAAATGCTTGCAGAAAACTTCTTATATTTGTTTCACAGTCCAAGGTTGAGATGAATTTTCTTGTGATTATCAAACATTTCAACTAAAAGCAAAATTCTAATGTCTTCTATGTTAATGACCCTTTCATTTCTTTTCCCTGCACTGGACCCAGTCAACCTGAAGAATTAAGCTGACTTGGCCATAATAGCAAGAGTAGCAGAGGGCAGGAAGAATAGATTTAGACAAGGAGGGTAGTGGAAATACATTTAAGGCTGGTAAAGCAGCAAGGAAAACGGGAGGTCTTGCTTAATGGGGAGTCAGAATGAGTTACATGATTTGATTCTCTTCTATCCATTGAGGGTAAAGTGCTCCTTACCTCACAGAAATGCTGCATGAGTCTTCCTGAGACAGGTGGTTGGGACTGAAAATTAGGTGTGCAGAGGAAAGAGAAAATTTGGCTGACTTGCCAACATATTCAGGGTCCAAGCAATCCTGTTATGTGCCTTTCCTTCCCTACAAAGAGTGCTATTTCTGGTTCTGTTGCTTTTCCTCATTTCCTATGGCTTCTATTTCCTCTGCATTCTCTGTGTTTCTTTCTTGTCCCTTCCCATATGGTTATTTATATTTTGTTGCCTCTCTTACTGAAAAGTGAGGTAAAGTTTTCAAGCCATTGATTGCTGTACCACTAAAGGGCAAAACTATGAAAAAACAGAAGTCTTCTAAGTATTTTAATTTGTTTTCTGTATGAAAAAACCCAAGGAGTGTATCAGTAGAGACTTAAAACAATGAGGAAAATAAATCTATTTCACCACTGGTGGATATTTCCCCAGTTTTTCTGTAGATTTTTTTTAGACATAAAAGGAAAAAATAAATGGTGTTTGAAGCTTTTTTTTTAAACTTCCCATGGTTCTAGTGATGACATATGTTATATGGACTTTTTGGGTGAAAAATAAAGTCAAACACTTTATTAACCAAAAAGAAAAACACTGACAGAGGCAGGAGCCCAGGATAAGCCTGAGTTCCACTACAACAATACCAAACACTCTCCTTTGGAATATCAATCTCCATAGGAGCACCACAAGTGAAGTCCCACTGCCACCCTTATAGACTCCCCTCTGTCCAGGATTGGTCTGTTTACGATCCACTCTCTGACTGGCCCATTTCCAGGGCTCTCATTGATTCTTAATGGGGTGCACTCCAGGCCAATCGTTCCTTCAGGGTGTTGAGTGATTTGTCGCTTATTCCACCAATGGTTGTCTATGATACAGATGTCGCTCTTAGGAGGTCATGTTCTGGAGTGTTCTCTTGGTTTGCTGAATCCTCCATACTGCCAAACAATACCCTGCCAGCCCTGGGCCACCCCCAACTCCACCTGACCACACCCACACCAACCACCGGACCTTGCCCATTACCCTTATAAAACCATGAGAACCCGAACTCTCTAACAACAAATACTAACCATTAACTAGAAACATATTATATTAAATAACCATTAACTTATAACCTGTCTTAGTTTAGGGCAATGTTAACAGTCAGTCAACTTGTTACAATTATTGGTTTACTTATAACAGCATACGCTATGTGCAAATCAGAAAGATGAATCCTTTATTTTTAGAGGTTCAACAAGCACTGATACGTTTCAGATTGTCCTCTTTGTCAAGACAGTTGTCAAACAGAATTTAAGTTCTAATTCCAACCTGTTTTGGCATTTGGTTTTGATTTCCAGGGTAAAAATGTAAAGTAATTATCTCGTTTGGAATGATGCAAATATCTCCAAGTTTGATGATACATGCAGGGTCTTATGAATATTCATGTTTAATCTATTATGACTGTAAGCACTTTAAAATATTCTTCACCCTTTTTTATATCTGTTCCTGTATTAATGGCTTATGTTGCAAGAGGCATGGTCAGAAGAATAATCTTTCACAATTCATAAGCACCAGACTATTTAAGGAAAAACATACTCTGCCTCTCAGAATTGCTTATTATTCTGCCTGTGGTTCTCTCAGCATAGGTAAGAGGTGAAGCTGTAGTATCTTGAATACCCATTATTGTGATCCTTCCACTGTGGAGGCAGAGTGGTGGTTTTGTAGTGGAATTTTAATGGACACTTTATTGATGAGAATAATGGCAATAAAATGGTTTGACTGCTGTTGGTTTTAAGTTGTGGGTCATAACTAAAACTTCAATAGGTCTTATAATTAAAATGGGCCAAAAAATCCAATCCCACCTTGTCATGTTTATACATGGATTTTGTTCTTTGGGATTACTTTGCAGGCAAACATATGACCTTGGGAGATAATTTAAAAGAACTTGAAAGAGCATTGGCTGGAATAGGAGAAACTGAGTCAGCAGAAAGAGGTGACCTGAATTTATTCAGCATTGAGCAAGCCAAAGCAATCATTGATTACTTGGTTGCCAGGTATTTATTTCTGCAGAATCTGTTCTTATTTCAGTAATCTAATGTAGTGGGGAAATGACTGATAAAATAGCATTAACAACAAATGCAGCATCAACTATTATTATTATTATTATTATTATTACACTACTACTAATACTAGTATTTTACTTTTATTTTACTGGATACCTTCCTACTATGCCAATGTATTGCAAACACCAAACTTTATATCATGAAAAAGGAGAGAGAATATGCAAGGAGCAGTAAAGATCTGGCCTCAGATGTCAAAGCCCAGAAAATAAATTTAGACTGGAAGTTTATCAAAATGTAAGATTATTCTGAAAATATTCCTTTTGGATTTTGTTTCAAGTGCTAAAACAAAAAAGAGTGGTGGCTGGACAATATTCTTGTTTTGCTTTTGAAAGCTACTTTTACATTCCATCTGAATAAAATTGTAGCTCTTATTTCTCTTATTTACATCTTCTCTAGAGTCTATTATTCTAAGTATTGGTCTGGCCTTGACAGTTATAGGGGACTGAAGTGATTTCAAGTTGTGTACTTACAGAGTTAAGGTTTTGATCATATGGGAGTCATAAAAATGTTGCATTTCAAAATCAGCAAAAATCAAGTATGTATATGAAAATATTTTGTGACAGGTCTTAGCTTTTAAACAGAGACACAGAAAGAGATGCAAACAGCAGTAAATTTATTATTTATTTGAGAAAATTACTGAGTCTGATAGTAACAGGAATGCCTCTGTATAAAGTTTTTACTGTATAGTAGTTTGTACACACGTTCTTCAACTGGAATTCTGTGGTTAAGGCAGTGGCTGTACTGATGTACCCCTGTTTGCGGTACATGATGGACAGAATGGTTCTCAAGCTGTTTAACCATCCATGAATATCAGGGGCAAGGAGATGGAAAATTAGTAAATTACTCCTGTAGTATATGCTCATCCACTATACTGCAGCTGTAGCCCTTCAGCCCATTTTCTGACCTGAAAGGGGGTGATGGGGGTGGGGGGGTGGGGCTATTTGTGGCATATGGGCATAAAAATTGGGTAAGATCATAATAGATCCATATATAGATTTGTTGGGAATTTTCTGACTGTTCTTTAGGAAAAGTTTAACACAGCAAAGAAGGGTTTTTTGGAGTGTTTTCCTGAATGCAGAAAAGTATTTTCTCTTGAAGAAAGGTAAAATTCTAGGGTAGCTATTAGCTTTCCAGTTTAGAGTACTTGGATTCAGATGGGGATTTAAACCCATTGCAGGCAATTTCTCTTATGATTAGACTATAAAATATGTCTCTTTCTCCTGCTGTCTGATTTTTTTCTTTCATTGCTTTTTCATGGAAAATATAAAACACTTCAGGTTCTTCCCATAAGAAATGGGAACATCTCTTTAAATCCCTAATTTCTGTCGTCAAGGCAAATTAATGTCCTTCCAAGTACTAGCCCTAAACTAAAAGGAAACTTGGCATTTTAAGATGTCTCAGCTCCTTTTACTTATGTCTTCCTGTCTGTCTTTTGTATATTTATATGGAACAAATGTTCTTTCCAAACAGCATATCTATAGCTCTTGTGTAACTTATCTATTGAGAGATATCTTGTCCATGAAGTAATTCCTTCACAGTTGGAAGAATTTCATCCAAGAAATTAGGTGCTCCATCCTACTTCCACCAAAGTATTAGCTGGGCAGGAATACAATCAAACTGCAAAACTTTTGCAGCAGAGTGGTATTTTGACCACCAAATATGTGGTTGTATGTCCAAACTACTCAATTTATTACAAATGTGTGCTGTGGCGATGTCATGGATGTACACACATACACTGAAATGTATCATATGTGTCCAATTTATGCAATCCATTTTTTCAGTCACTGGAATATTTTTTTCTAAATAAGAATGGAATTAGAACACTTAAATGGGTGTACTTTAAACTTTATGAGCTCAGAAGTAGGTTAAGTTTTATTACAATTCAAATTATTGTATTAGTTCAGTATATTTTTTCTTGTTTAATTTTAGATGATAAGCCTGTAGCTTTTTTCCTACTCAAAACAGTATGACACATTGTAGTTCAGATCATATTTTTACAAATGAGCTGTAAACCGATGGGATTTATAATGGAAACAGGGACAAATGCTTAACCACATTGGCAGAAACTGTGCAGCAACTACAATGACACCTTCAGGTTTGGTGGAAGGTTACAGTTATCATCTTTTTATCTTGTCTTCTTGGGCAAACATACATTAACGTAGCTCCTGACATTTCATTTTGAGGAAGCAGTGGAGCTGGGGAAATATGTCATTGTTAATCACCTTCAGATTCTCATACGACATCATAAGAGGGCCTATTCTTAACAGTAGTACTTAAACAAGTAAAATTATTTCTGTGCAATTGCTAGAAACACAGTTATGGAATTTTTAAATTGTTCACAACAAATATAAACAAAAAGGGGCATTTTGTGTAATGCCTGATAGAAGAAAGAAAACGATATTTTTTCTAAATAAATGCGGATGTCTAATTTATGTGATTTGACTTAAAGAGCATTAAACAGAGGAATTTTTTCCTTCATACAGGATTATGGGCACCAGGTTGAACACAGATCTTTTTAAAAATAAAGACATAAAATTCAGAAATGCCAAAAATAATTACTTATATTTTTGGGTACTTATATTAAATTATATGTAGCTGTAACATAGTCCATAAAGAGTAACATAACACATCTTGGGGGAAAGGGGAAGTAAAATACCTGACTTTTAGGTGCTGTAAATCAGGATTATTTTCAAAGCACTTGGATAGGAGAACAAATTTGAAATATTAATTTCTGTCAATCTGATTGGAAGGATATATGTCTTATTTCCTGTGTGTCTGTGATGTTCGTAAAATATTTTTTGTCTTTTTTCATATAATCCGTCTTAGAATTTTACCAAATGACAGGTGTGTATGAAAGGGAACATAGATTTACATAAATCAGTGTGAGTCATTTCCAGTTCAGGTTAAGTCCTGAACTCTCTTTAAACATATTTTCTGTGTCTCTACTGAAACATGTCAGGAATTCTTTGGTGAAGTGTTGTAATAAAAATGTACTTAAATTAAATTGCAAATACTGTAAGAACTTAATTAATTTCCTGTGTGCTTTGGGTTTGGGGGAAGGCAGCCTCTAGCTGATGGCAGCCAGACTTCTTACATGGGCCTTACTGGTACCAAGCTGATGGTACTGCTGACCCAACTGATGGGTCTTCCAAGAAAAGAGCCTGTGTCCTGTCCCTAGCCAGAAAGCACAGGAACCAGTTACAGATGTTCACTGCAAATATTGCCACACCTTTCATGGATACAGCAGGCAGGACTGTGGTAAATTCTTGGAATCATTCTTCAACCTGGACTTTATATGAAATCACAGAGTTTTAAATCATATGTTGAAATGACATGACAGAAGGCAGCAGTTCTGTATCATGACTGTAAGAGAAGAACTAATTGTAACAGATGGACTGTGACAAGCAAAACTTTTGGTTAAACAAATGCTATATAATTGATCATTAGAAAAGGAAACAAAGAAAATGATTTAAAACGTGAAATAGCCATACGTGTTTTAAGGAAGATAAATATTTTAGTCCATTGACAAAGTCTATTTTAAGTTACTTTTGTTGTAATACACAAAACTGCTGTGTGTTAATCTAGTTTTTTTTTTAGTTTTTCTTTGAGGAAATACTACATTGATTTTTCAAAGTGACCTTGATAGAATAAATCTTTGTATTCTTTATTGTTTTGGTGTTCCAAGATCAAACTTTCTCCCTGTACTGGCAGCCCATCCCAGAATCTGAAAGCTGATTTAGCTTTGTTTCCTTCTTGTCTGCTATTGCTGATAATAAAAGGCATAAGTATCCTGGTGATAAGTGTTTCAGGAGCTACATTTTTTCAGAGTAGAACTTTGTCATCTCAGAGTTCAATTTCATAAAGACTAAGTGGATGTATTTTTAAGTATTGCACTGTATTTTCTACAGCCATCTGATAATAAATCCTGCAAACTAAATGTGCTGCTTTTTGTATCTGAAATTAAACAACTGTTTCTTTTTAAAATTTGGAATGTTACATGCTGGAGGGTAATTCTTAGTTTAACAAAACTTACAGTATTGTTACCTTTCCAAAAATTTACAGCTGGGGTAATCTATATTATCTTGTTTTTCAGCATATTCAAAAACTATAAAGCGTATGAATACCTCTTCCACAGTCGTGGAGAAGAACCTGTGATAAGTAATGAGGTGAGTCATCTATATAGATGGAACTCATTATGCAGTTACTTAACGAGTGCACCATGGCACGTGTTTTGTATTGCTCAAAGCAATCTCATGTCAACATCCCTGCATTACTAATGTAAAACGCCTGATTAGAGCGCAAGTTAAGATGTTTTGATCCTCATATTCAAAATTAATTTGGGATTTCAAAAAAGTGTAAATGCATTGGTTAAGTTGTTAGTTGTGTAAATCAGGAACACTTTCATATAGGTATTTGTAAATTGATGCATGTAATTTGAATTAGCAATGTTAGTCTGAGTCTGCTTTAAAATCAGCAATCAAAGTCATAAAATGTCATGTGCCATTGCCTAGTCTGACCACAGCCCTAATAGAGATGTATGCATGTGCATATACAGAGTTTTGTTTCTATTGTAGCCACCAAGAGTTAATTATATAGAATTATATTATATATGGTAGACTATGAAGAAAGAAGCAAGCTAGAAGCTGAGCATTTTGAAAGAGTTTGCTTAACAATATTGAGTTGGTTTCACAGTGAGCTTTGTCATGTGTTCTAACTTACATGTGAAAAAATGCATAAGAAAATGTGTTGATGCAGAATGTGGCCTTTAATCAAATGGACAGGTTAATCAAATAAACCTTCCTTTAGCCTGACAGTGTTTTTTGAGGATATATGTTATGATTAATTAAAAAATATTTGCATTTTAAATTTGTATTAGGAGCTAACTGATTGCCCAGAGAGGCACAGTAGTATAATATGGTACCTATATTTTAGCTTATCAGTACACAATGAAGTTAAAATTGGTACATTGGAAAAATTCTTTTACACTTTCAGCTGTTATTTTTGACTCTGGTGATGTGGGATAATTGCCTTCCATGTTGCTTTTAAGTAGCCATATTATAAAAAATTTATATATTATAAAATATATATTATATATATTATTATTTCTTGGCATGGATGAAAATATTTGGAAATTATTATTTTCATTTACAAGGTGGGTTAAAATTCCAACTATGATGAAATTGGTGACAAAACTGTCAATACAAAGGTAGAGCAGAACTTCAGCATTACTATGTTAGGGTGGGGGCTTCATATTGAGTAATTAGATCAATGGGTGGTTAGCACTCCTTAATTGGTAAAATTGATTTTATTGAGGCTTTGATTAAGTAATTCTTGTGTAAACTTGAATCATGAATCTTAGAAGGTTTTAGACTAGCTTAAAAGAAATGTCTTTGTGTTTCCTGAAGTCTCATTTCTGGGATGGTGAGATCATCATGCACTGTCCCAGCTGCAGGACAGGGGTGCCCTGGGCAGGCTCTGCTGGGGAGCATCACCTCTGCTGAGGGTACCAGCACTTCTGAGCAATGGTAGAAATGAATTTCAGGGAATGACTTCAGTGATGGTCCATCCAAGCAACAAGTGTCATCTGCAGCTACAACTATCACAAACCCCTGCATGACAATCTTTAGCTGTAACTGCCTTTATGGCCTTTTCTTACCAATAGTGCCACTTCACTTCAATCCGTCTGTTTTGTATTCTGAGCTCCATGGCAGAGAGTTTTTAATTTGTCCAAGTACACTCCAACACCCAAGGAAATCAATACTTATATTCTATTAGAGTTATAGGGTGATGCATTGTTGTTCAATAAGTAAAAGTTTAAGGTATTGGAGCTGCACATACAAATTTATGGCATTATTTGCACTTTATGTGTTAAAATGTGAGGAGAGGTGAACTCAGCATAAACTTCAAGCTCTTTCGCTGTAGCTTTGTTTTATTTAAAAATTCTTATGCATAAAAGAGATCATTACTTCTATCTTGCAGTCCCTTAGAGGAATATAGCTTTTGGGCTGCAGTGTTTTGGGGTGTGTGGCTGTGGTAGGGGCACACCTGGGGTCACTTGCTTTGCAGTCCATCTGCTCAGGGAACAGGAGATAACTGGGAAATCCATGTCCTGAAAGTAGATAGTAAATCTGTGCTGAAAGTTTGGCTGCTATCCTGTTATGTAGACCAATGCCTTACCAAAAAAAAAAAAAAAAAAAAAAAAAGCCACTGCAGACACACCACAGCTCGAAGCTGAATGTGATCCTGACTCTGAGTGCAACTAATGTCTAAAAAGTTTTCCTTTATCTCCAGCAATAAAAGCCTGTTCTTTTGGAATAAGACACTGTAAATTGTAACAGCCAGATTTGCCTAAATAACAAGAACCATGGTGTTCCAAGAGCTTAATTACAGCATTATCTTCTTTTGCAAATGAACACTTTGAGACGAGTCAGTGAAATTACTTACTTCAACAGAATTGATTTGTTTCCACTGAAATGGCTTTAGCTCAGTGAGTATGTGTACTGAAAGAATTACCTACAGAATAAAAGCCCAACAGCCTCAGGAGAAGATCTGCTTCTTTAAAAGAGATGAAAGTATAGCAAATAAAAGCTCTACTCAATGTTGTAATGTATATCCTTTTAGGGAGACCACAGTGTGTGCTTCCCAGAGAAATCTTACAGCGATGGGTTGTAAAATCATTGGAACTTTTTTTCTCTAGCACAGGCAATTATACAGGGTTCTCAATCAAGTTTCCTTTTTGATCTTTCACTGCAGTTATTTCCAAATGACCCTGTCATTTCCTGTGTAGAATAAAATCAGACGAGAAAAGAGAAATGACTCAAAACTCAGATTATACATACAACTGTGGTTGTGCCACTTAACAAAATCTAAGTTATTTAAATGTAGCACATAATTAGTGTAGCTTCACAGTCTGATTAATATTCTGTACTTGATGCAGCTAGTATAATAAAGCCACCTCTGTAAAACACAGTGTTCAAGTCTTTAAGAAAAGGTAACAAATGCCAGGCTAATTTAAATATATAATTTTTTTTTTTTTCACATTGGCTAAAGCCTTTAAACCTCAAACTGCTTGAGGTGATCATATTGCCTAGGAAAAAAAAGGTTAAAACAGAAAGAAATAAATGCTTGGTTAAATGATAAAACACACATCACACATAACCTACTTTGACAGTATTTAAAATTTAAAACTTGCCTTTCTAGATATCAAATCTCTTACTTCTCCTTCATTCCAGATCTACAAAGACCTATATATTATGTATGCATGAATACCTGCTAGAAAACATGATTGTATAAAGAATTGCTGAGAAGTGTTAACATTGCCAAGTAAATTAATTGCTGTTTTCCCCTGTTACTATTATGGGCAATTCCCCCCATTTAGAATGATTACAGAAGAGGCTGTGCTTTAGCTGTTCTGTGGCTATGATCCAAAATAAAATGCAAGTTGTGCTACCATTAGAGTTCTTCAGGAATATTGCTGTTAAAGGTACTGGTTTTTTTCTTTCTGCCTTTTCTGGACATTTTGCTCTCTAGCTGTGATTTAGTACACCTATATTAGCTTGCAATTTCAAGGAAAGCAAAAGGAGTACAGACTAAACCTTGACATGTGGGGATTCAGTGGAGCAATTCCTATTAACATGTCAGATCTTATAACAAGGGCTTAAATTGTTAATACATGAATTGTGTAGAAGTTTTTATTCTTTTCTATTTCTATGTTTAGTTAATTTATTTTGCTTTAATAGGATGATACAATACAATATATTTTACAATTTTTTTTCTCTCATTTACAAATTGAACCTTACATTGCAGTTCATGTTTTTTGCTGCTCTCCGTTGTGTATTTTTGGATGGTATGGTGCTAAGGTCTTTTGGGATTATGTCTGCTTTGAAACATTTCCTAATAAAAATAATGTGGTTGGTAAATCTTGTTTTTTTCCTAGTTGCTTTAGCCAGCCTGATGGAGTAACCTGCTATTTTATGGCCCAGATGACTAGCTAAGTTTGGCTTCTTGAAATAGTAGTGTACAGTGTAATTTTCTTTAGAGATGTCATCGTGGGTCAGGTTGCAATAAGAATATTGAAGATTAAATTTAATGGCAGTGCAGATTCAGTATTATAGTAGTCACGAGATATCATCCTCTGTACTTAGAGTTCCAGACTAGTTTCCATTAATGCTTTTGTTCTATATACTCCTTACTTTCTGAAGCATTAAGCTTTTGGACTGTGTCTGGTCCTTATCCAGTTGTGGGTTGAGTTGGGTTTTTTTTTTAAGTTTGAACCGAATACCTTCTTTGTTTGAATTTAAGGAGGTGGATAGGAAGAATATGCTTTTTGAAAGCTAATAAAGCTTGTTTTTCTTCTGATGGCAAAAACCCTGAAGTCTGGGATTTAACTTTGATACGTAATCCTCATTAGGTGTTACCTATTTGGATTGGTTAATCAATCACTGTTCAAACAAATTTGCTCCATAATTTCTTGAGAACTGCATTTTAGAGATGTATGAAACTGGAACATTTAAATAAGCATATCAGTTCACACTATGGAAACTCATTCCCCAGCTAATGGAGTGCTTTTCAAAGCTTGGAGGTTTCAGATATTTTTAGTGCCTAAAAACCAGTGAGTTGATTTTTTGTAGCATTGTTTTCTAAATATCACCATGGCAAAGATATGAAGAAGAGCATAGGACTGGAATGGATGTCTTCAATTGTTAGCTCTCATGCTGCTTTCTCATAGGGAAATATTTATATTCCTCTTCAGAAACCTGTCAAACTCCAGTTTAAAAAGTTACTCTTTTTTTGTCTTTGCTCCTTTAGTTAGGGAAGTGCCCTGATACCTGGTTCTGTAATTGTTATAAAACTTCAGTTTTGGTCTGAGTGTATTCATGACAAGCTTATTTGTTCTTGTGCCAATTTGTGCCAGTATTTACCTTTAGCTCTCATTCCATCCCCAGTGTTTATTTTTCCAGTGTTGTCGTGGTTTTAAACCAATAACTAAGAAAATTACTTATTTCTTGCTGTGAGACATGGATTAGAACAAGAGCAAAACAGGCATAAAACTTAAAAGGAAAAAAAAAGAAAGTTTATTGACAAACTACAATAAGAACACCAGAATAAACTTCCAGAAAAACCTTTTCATCCCCTGTCTACCCACTATTCCCTTGTTCACATGACA